CCACCAAACAAATAACTCCCACAGGCCTTGGGGAATTGGCTAGATGATTTGATTTTTCTAGTCAAGAGTGGTCAGATTTCTGAATCCCTAAACACTCATAAGCGCAGAGATGCTAGGTGCTCACTTAGCTAGTTCAAAAGAGCGTCAGGCTCCGTATTGCAGCTTTCAAAGTGGGAAGGGAGAACGGTGGTCCCCACCCACATGCCTCCAGCTTCCCAGGAGGTAATTCAAGCTACTGGAGGTGAAGCAAGGGAAGGTTTTGAACAGGAGGGTTATCAGCATTTCACTGGGGGAAGGTGTGGGAAAACAGTTCTCACTTCACTCTGCGGGGCTGTTAAAAGAAGTGAATAAAATAGACCAAGCCATGACGAGAGTCTTTGTCCCCTGTAAAACTCCATCACATCCATGTCAGTGTTCACCATCATTACTGCTTCTAGGGGCCTTCAACACTTGGTTACTGATTCAACAAATTGATTACGCATCTGCTCTGTGCCAGGCTTAAGAGGCTAAAGAAATAAGACCTAATTTACGCTCCGTGAACAGTGATTTTCAACTGGGGCGCTGTGAGAGGATCTCAGGTGTGTTGTGAAAAATTTTAAAGATCATTAAATAAATAATTTTCGAAAGAAGTTCAAAGCACAGAAAGTATGTGGTTTTTGCCCTTTTTCTTTTCTTTCTTTCTTTCTTTTTTTTTTTTTTTTTTGTGAACATAGTTTAAGCACGTTGTAGAAGTTTAACTACAGGTTCAAGTGTGCCGAGAGATAAAAAAGATTGAAAAACATGGCTCTAAAAACTTTGTTCCAGGTAGAAAGACATATAATATTATGTCATGCCTCGGGCAATTTAGAGATGCTACTAAAATGTCTAGACACACCGGTGGGATAATGATTCATATACCGTGTACCCTGATGCATACTGTTATCTCATTTTGCTGCTTCCCCAAGGTTTTCTTTGAAAAAGTGGCATTTCTTCTGATAACTATCATACCTCTCGGCGCTTTCTTAGCCATCGAGCCAGCATACTTCAGCAGGCCTTGCTTCAAAGTCAACCTACGTGTCTTTCTGAGAAGTTCTCTCTCCTTGCCCCTACTTGGTTCCACTGACTGCTGCACTGTGTTTGGGTGGTGGGATGGGGTGAAGAGGGGTGAGGAGCATGTGGATGGAGGTGCCAGTGGATGTGGGGAGACCATTGCAGACCAAGACTAGGGGTAAATTTTGCCACCAGAGCCTGGATGCAACTCAAAAAAAGTTGCTTACCTTTACTTGTCAATCTTTAACCCTGGGACATTATTCCCACTTGGGGATCACCATTATCATTGAATTCTTAGCATCTTAGGTTGGTGAGCTGCATCAAGGGGAACTTGAGAAGTCATTTCTGAAGTCTGTGAGCATGAGGCTATTCAGCATTTGTGGGGAAGTCGCAGCAGCCTGGAACCAGCTCCTGCGTGACCACTGGAAGGCTGGGGCATCATTGGAACAGCAGTGGAACTTGAGACACAAATATTCTGTCTTTTTCAGCCCTTGGAAGCCAAGTAAACAGGATAGGCTTCAAGCAGTGATGCTCTGAGTGTTGACATGGGTCACAGAAATCCAGGGTTAGATGTTTTTCCCTTTTATTCCACCCCTATCTCTGCTGTTTGACAACTTTTCTAAAACCTATGAGCCTCAGTTTCTTGCCTGCCTTGTCTCCCAAAGCCTTAGGCCCTAAGCCCACTTCCTGTCCTTTCTCTGTTTGGAGAAATGACCAACAGGAGCCAGGTGGCCAGCCATGACCTGGCATGGTGGCAGACATGGGAGGGTCTCCTCCATCCAGCAGACACCTCTGGCCTGGCCTGCAATGAAGAATGTAGCTGTCCATTTGACTCCTCCTTTACTGGGGAAGAATGAGTCAGTGCACCCCCAAGAGACTGTGTGTGTCTTATTCCTCAGTGTAACAAACTCCAGTTTCAACTTCAGCTGCCTACAAGGCTATCTGACCCATGATGGGTTGACCCGGGGCGGAGTCTGCCTTTGAAAGGCCTCTTAGTTGGTGAGGAGACTAGAGTTTGTCCTGCAGCTAGGAGGGTGAAGGGGACGCAGCTTCTAGATGGGCCAGCCCTGTGTGATCAGCCAGTAGCCCTGCCAGGCATGTGTTATCTCATTTCATCTTTACAACTGAACTGGGAAGTCGGCTGAAGTTATTCATTCACCCAACAGATGTTGGTGCCTGCCTGCTGTGTGCCTGGCATTATTTAAATTGCTTGACATTTACCAGTACAAAGATCTCTGCTTGGATATAGCTGACAGGCAGAGGGGTGAGGTTGGTAGGGAGAGATTAAGAACAATTTTTTAGTAAGAAAATTATGTTTTCTGGAGCATTTTGTTTTACTCTGCACACCCTCCAGAATCACTCATCTGAGCCTTCATGCCACAGCTGTTGAGAAGACAGCTTTGCTCCGGGCACTATGCTAGGTACAGGGGTACAAAGGGGAATGAGTATCGAATCCTCCAGATGCTCACAGTCCCGGCGAGTGGGACAACAGTAGACAGGTAGTCAAATGCGGCACAGGTACTGTAGCAGAGGCATCTAAGGTAGGGTGACCAGATTCTAACATCTGTAAGGCAGGACAACATGGCGCGGGGGTGGAGCGGAGGGCGGAGCAGGGGGCGGAGCTGGGGCCCGGGGCACGGGTTGGGGGGGGGCGACCGGGCAGGCAAGGCCTGACAACAATGCAAACTTTGATAAGCTGTTCTCCATAATCACTTCTCAGCAATTATTTATTACAGTTTAACATCATAAAATTAACAAAAATAATATAAAATTCATATTCTGGTGAACTAGCCATATGGCGGCCGAAAACCGTATATTCCCTTCTTGTTCTCCAGCCCGTTCGTGCATTCTTTCCAAAAATCGGGACTTTTTTAAAACGCCGCAGGACGCAGGACAAATCGTTGACAAGCGGGACTGTCCCGCCAAAATCAGGATGTCTGGTCATCCTAATCTAAGGGCCAGGGGACAGGCCACACACCTCCAGGGGGCTCAGCCTCTCCACCCTATCTGCTGTGGTCCTCTTAAGCTGCCTCCACCTCCACCCAGTCCCTCTCCTGCCCCTGAACACACTCCTCTTGGCCGTCCCCACCCCCTGCCTCCCAACCCCATGTGTTCCTTCAGAGTCTGATCCAGGGAAATTTTGCTAATGTGGCAAATGGATTCACTAACTGAGTACTAGGTTTGCTTGCTCTTTCAGGTGACTTATTTGCATTTTAACTGGCTTTTAATGGCTTTCAAAAAATGAGAGACTGGTTCTTTGTAGGAAAAGCCCTTCTGTTAGCAGACCAGGAAGGGAAGCCTGGGGCAAGCCCCCGTCACAGCAGGCAGGTGCCTACCTACTCTCCCCTTCCCTGGGGGTTCACTCTTCTTTGGAACCTTCATCTTCTCTTTGAAAACAGTTCTGGCATCTGGATTGCCTTTTGCTAATGTGCCTTTGGAGTTAATCTTCTAGTCCTGGGAGTTTCAACTTGTGATCTGGGGTTCTTGGAAGTGTGTCGGTGAATAGCCTTTAGGGGGTGTGGGGACTTGTGAAATTCCCTGCAAACTTTCGTATAAACAAGCTTAAGTACAGCTCCCCTGTGAAGACAAAGTCTGGCGTTTGTATCGGATTTATAAACCTTGGATCCTCACTCAGAAAAGGTGGCCATCGCTGAAGTAATACACTTCAGTTTCTGCAGAGAAGTAAATAAAGTGACTTGCTAGAGCCAGCACAGCGACAGCAGGGAGGGGACAAGGAGGAGGAGAGGAGCAGAGAGAGGTAAGGTGGGGCCAGCACAGAGGCTGGAACTCGAGTTTCTTGTTGCCTATACCAAGGAGTTCCATCTCCCTCATCTATGAACCCTAGCCTGGCCTGCTCACCTGCCAGGGCACGGTACGATCTGCCTTATGGAAGCAGGGATTTTTTGTTTGTTTGTTTTTAATTTTTATTTATTTATTCTTTGGGGTTCATTGAGGGTACAAAGAATTAGGTTTCACTGATTGCATTTGTTAGATCAAGTCCCTGTTATACCTGTGTCCCACCCCCAAGATTACAGAAGCAGTTTTAAAGAGCTGAGAAGAAGGTCCCTATTCCCTCACACAGGGAGGGAATAAATAATGGCTGACTTCTTTTTTCCAAAGAAAAATGTTAAGCTTTTAGAGCTGTCTGTCCCTAGAGACATCACGCACCACTTGGGCATCTGTGTGGTAACCCCCAGGGTTACCCAGAGCAAGCATAACCCCCAGGCTGTCCTTCCAAGCCCCACTGCACAGAGACAAGTCACGTGCGTGAGCCGGCCTTCCAGTGAGGGACACTTCTGGATTCCTCTGCCCAACCCAGAAACACCTGGCTCATTTACAGACCAAAAAACCTGAGACAAGTTGTGTTACCAACACTCAGTATAAGTTATCAAAGTAAATAAATAGTTTATACACATTCATCAGCCCTGGGAGAGGGAAAGGAACAAATTATTACTAGCCGGAATTTCAAATTGATCCAGAAAACAGCAACATCTTTTTTTGTATCTATTACTATACACTGACTCATGACAGGGTTAGTTTCCCTCCAAGAGAGATTGCAGGGAGATAGATTCCTGAATAGGTCCAGCCGTGGATGTGATGAGGAGGTTGCAGGGGAGAAGGAAAAGAAGACAAGGGACAGGAGTCAGCAGGCCCCAGCTCAAGACTTGGCCTTCCCTGAAATAGCAGGGAGACTTTGGGCCGATCACTCACTGTCCGCTCAATTGTTTTGTTTTCTTTTTTTTGCCAAAAGAATATGAGAGCATTGGGTTGGGTACTCTGTAAAGGCCTTCTCAGTGTGAGCATTAACTCATGCATTCATTCATTCTCTGCCTTAGGGTAGCTGTTGCCTTCCAGCCTTGTCTGTGATAGCTCAGGCTTATCTGAAGCCAGAAACATGGACCAGGTCACTCCCGAAGGCTCCGCGCCAGCCCCAGGAGTCATGAGGGATGGGGTTCAGCCACCAGACTCACCAGCAGGAATATGGGCACCTCTTGCTGTAGCGACAGCAGTAAAATTGCCACTCCCGGTCCAGCACTGACTCGAAGTAGCGGCTCTGGAACCCTGCCACCAGGCCGTTGTTTGAGCACGTCTGGTACCTGAGGACAAGAGAACAGCTCCTGGGAACCTGGGGACGATGACACAGAAACAGATCCCTTCCCAAGACCCCCCCTCTGCCAGTTTCACAGTCTGTCACTGAACTAACCCCCTAACAAATTATTCCATTTTATGCAAATTATTAAGTCTTTGTTATATTTATAGACATGTCATAGGCTCACCATTGAAATCCAAATGGTTTAGTATCTTTCTACTGAAGGAAGTTTGGGGAACACTGCTCCTGACTTACCTCCATGAATACACGATGGAAGAATGAATGAATGGATGCATATAGAATTTACATGTAACATTTTACAAATACAGGATTGTATTTTTCATGACATGTCCAATGGAAGATCATGTCATTCATTTTTACTCGAATTAAAAATAAATAGAAGATGAATTATGAAATCAATTTATAATGACACTTTCATAAGAAAGATAAATCACACCTATAGCCCAAGATGAAGGAGGGAAGATGAGGGGGATCGGAGGGGAGGAGGGAAATTCGATGGAAGGAGGGTAATTAAGAGGTGGGACCATTCCTATGTTCATATTGCAAGGTTACAGGTACTCTTAAGTATAGAGTATAAATGCCTTAACACAATAATTAAGTAAATGAGGTGAAGGCTATATTAACTAGTTTGATGTAAGCAGTCTTAATTGTATATAAAATCAGCACATTGTACCCCATAAAGACATCAATGTATACATGATCTATGTGTTTATGACTTAATAAAAAATAAAAATTAAATAAAGAAGATGAAGAGAAATACAAGACATTGGTGGACTTCAAATGAGCATTTCTTCTGCTTAAGAGCAGAGCCCTTGGACATGGAGCCCGAGGAGGACCATTTATTTGTTCTGCCCTTACACAGCACGCAAAGCCCTGATGGGTACCACGATTCGTCCAGACGATCAAGTGGGAAAGCTTGGAACACATCCCCGATTCTCACTACTTATCCAGGAATCTAGCCCTAAGCTCCCCACAAACCAGGGTGCGTTTTTCTCAGAATTCCATTCCCACGGCTGAGGGAGGGTCCCAACCATGGCGGCACTTCTTACAGATTTGCTACAGGCCACTCAAACTTCTTTGCTCCCTCTCAGGGTCCCTATCCTGTTCTACCTGAATTCTTTAAATACAGTAATTTCTCCACTCTAGTTCACACACTAGAAAGAATTGGACTCTTTCATTCTCCCTTTGCTCTTGCCAGTTTGCACAGCCCATTCCTAACCAAGCGTTACTTTAGAACAGCACAAATGTTTCTTCTTTTATTCTATCTCCGTGTTGCTTTCTCCCATTTCTGCCCCAAATCCCAGGGTCCCATGTCCTTCAGGCTTACCACATTTTGCTTTGATGATGAGGATGCCGTTTTCTACCTGACCACAGTGGGCGCTCACCTTATGTGGAATGAGATCTTTAGAGGATCTTCCAGAATAGATATTTAGCTACCTCTATTTCTTGGCAGTTCTCACCCACCCCAGCCATCGACTCGGCCCCTGTCATAAGAGAGAAGAGAACGCAGTTGTCTGTGTGACGCGGCCTGGCAGCTGCAGGAATACAACTCAGTTTTCCAAGTAAAGGTAAGTTTCTAGAAAATATAATGTATAGAATAAGAATAAGTACCCTGTTCTAACTAAACAGGGACTTGCTAAGGCACAAACTATAACACCATCAGCAACTAGATTTCATTTATTCTTTTCCGTGGCTGAAGATGAACTTGTGGATCTGACAAAGTGAGATATTAAATACACTTCAGGTCTTGGGTTGCAAGTCATTCATCCTTTTTACCCAGTTATTATTCATTTATTCATTCATGCATGCATTTTGCAAATATGCATGTATTTATTTCTTTATTTGTACATTCAGCAACTATACTACTCTTTTGCACCGCTCGCTTTGCTACTGTGTTAATAGAAGAACTGAGCGAGGGGCTTGGATTCAGTCAACTATCCTAATGAGCTTGAATCCCCTATTCTCAGGGCTTGTAACTCAGCTATAGGAGATGCATAGTGCAAATTAAGATGTAATTTGAGGCCTCTGGCCCTTTGATGATCTGGCCTTTTTCCTTTACCTTCCTTTGCTTCTCATCAGGAGTATTACCACTTGGTAATGCCTGGCATATTTCAGGAAGCCACAGAACTGGAATGAACGAGGGTCATAGCATGGTGGAAAGGTAGCTTTGGGGCTCAATCTTCCATAATGGTCTATTATATCTCAATCTCTAGTATTGTGAGTGAGAGGGAATTTCAGTATGAAATTGTAAGAGCCATAAGCAATGCTTACATGGGTCCAAAGAGAGAAGGACCAGCGAGCTAGTACCCTCTATGCCTCCCCCTCTCACCAGTACTAAAATTCCTTCTTCCTCTAAATGGGAGTTCTTTCAGCACTGAGCAGGGCCGTGGTTTCCCTGGAGCTGTGTTCCACTGTTTTGGTTTGTCTTGTATACTGTTGGTAAGTTCCCCTTAGTAAAAATAAATGTGGAAAGATAAGCAGACCTGTTTCGTGGAGTACCAGTTCTGAAGCTATCCAAGTTCCACGAATTCCCTGGCAGCTCTTGGCCAGCAGCTGGCCCCGCTGCCCCCCATATGGGAAATGTGTATGTCACTTTCTCATACACCACCTCAGATAATGCCGCTCTGTGAAGATTATTTGGGCCCTACAGGCTCAGAGCCTAACAATACACAGTGAAAGTTAGATAACCAAGTATAACTCTCTCCTCCCAGCTGTGATTTGATCGCCTTCCCATTTTGGTAGAGTGAGCCTGCTTGGGAGTTTGGTAGTATGAAATCATTTCTTCCAGAACTGGATCTTTATAGGGGTATGCTTTTCTACTGTGGGAAGCAGATAGTGGAGTGGTTAAGAGTAGGGGCTATGCTGCTGGATGGGTGCTCTGCTGCTCTTAGCTGTGTCATCTTGGGCAGGCTTCCTACCTTCTAATGGCCTCAGTTTCTTCATCTATACAATGGGAATAGTATATACTTATTCTTAAAGTTATTGTGAGGACTAAACAGGATAACACATATGAAATTCCTAGAATAGTCTTTTAATGTGTAATTAATTCCTTATGGTCATCCTTACACTTTCATTGAGTCTACATGGCAATTGCGAGCACACTTTGTGAGAACCACCCCTTGGCTCTCCTGTCTCCACTAAGCAAAAGGCTGGGGGATTCACCTGCACTCCCTGACCTGTCGTCTCCCCAAAACAAAGCTCACTGGGGTCAGCTGTCATAGCAACCCACATTGTAGCACAGGTTGTTTATTTTGTCTTAGCACTCTTGGTAAGGGGTAAAATCCTTGAGGGGAAAAGAACCACTTAATCTTCATTTTGTATTCCCTGCACTGCCTGACACTGTTGTCCAGCAACAGTTTAATGGAAGAACACGTGAGCAAGTGACTGGCCCCTCAATCTCTCATTAGCAGAGGCAAAACTAACTTTTAAAGAGCCCATCCCTCAAATTCGGGAAGGGCCCTGAAACTCCCACCATGTAGTTTTCATGGAACTTGGGTCAGTGATCCACCTTCCTGCTTCCACCTTCTCCCTCAGAACATTGCCGCTCCCTGAGGAGAGTGAAAATGAATACACTTTTGAACATTCCTCATCTCTATTTCTCTCATTTTCAATCATCTTTTTAAGAAGCTTCTTATTTTAATAAGACTCACTTAACTATTGGCCACAGTGGGAGGAGCCAGGCAGGTGAGCAGAGAAGCAGCCTCCGAATCGGTCAGGACTGAGGAAGCTAGAAAGACCTGCATTGCTAAAATCACTGAAACTCCAGTTAAAATAGATGGTTAGTGGTCAAAAAGCATAGCTGATGCTCTGACTCACTGCACAGCACCAGGTTGTCTTTCCTGAATGGTCCGTGGAACAGAGTATTGGCCCAAGACAACAGTGAGTTTCCTGGTGAGTTGTATGACATGACCCAAACTGAGGCATCAGAACAGACACTATGGAAATGTTTCCTTAGGACATGAGGGCACCAGTACCCTGCTTGAAAGACTCTCTCCTTTCTACCGGAGAAGATATATTTTTTTTCTTATCTCTTTGAAGGCTGAGGCTCAATTTTAGTTTCACAAACTGGAGCACTTTTAGCTCTGCTCCCCCTGACACTAGAAACTTTCCAGAAGGAAAATCACAAGGCAGTCACCCCTCCTCTAATAACAACATTTATGAATCTTTTCTGAGAAAGTAGCTTTTTGGAAGATGGTTTCTCTCAGGTCATCACCCTGAAAGCAAATCCAGAAAACCTTTTCCTGTGTCTGTAATGGCAAAACACAGAAGAAGCAGGATGCGGTGGAGGGGGTGAGCAGAACCCTTGTTGAGAGATCAGCAGACGTGAGTTCTAGTCCCCGACCTTACCGTGCTTTGTGGAGCCTGGCCTAAGTCATGAGGACATGTGAGGATTCAGTGAAGTAGTCCTGAAAACTCCTGGCCAAGATAGTAACTGGAAGAGCTGGAAGCCCAAATGAGATTTATTTGAGGCCAAAGCTTATGTCCATAAATTCTTGGGGAACACACAAATCTCTTTGAGATTGTCCTTCAGCTCTGATCAATACTCCATCTAGGCTTTCTCCCTATTGTTTTTATTCTTCATCAAGTCCAAAGCTGTTGGATGGGCAGAAGGATGGAAGCCAAAATTGGAAGGTGTGTGAGCATCTGGTTTTGGTTGTGAACTCTATGGATTTTCGGTCTTTCCTTCCAGTCCCTGCTAGTCTCAGTCCAAACTTATAGAAAGTCCAAACTCTTAGTGAGTTGGGATTGAGTTAGGTGTAGAACAGGGTAAAGGGAAACACTGCCTCCTCTGTCAAGAGCTCTCAAAATTCCATTAAATACATAATAGATGGGCTGGTTATGCTGGTCTTTTTCTTCTCAGCTCCATACACATAGGCATGCTTCAAGAGCTATTATTCAGTCTCCAACTCCACTGCAGAGATGAACCAAGGGAAGTTTTGCTCATGGTCTAGACTGGTGGCTAACTCTGTGTCATGTAGTCTCCTT